AGTGTTGTGTAGGGAGGCTCTAGTGAGGGTAGGGATGTCGCGAACCACCCTAGGTTCGATTTCGAAAGGTTTCGATATTTGCGAAGCGAACTAAGGTTCGATTTCGAAAAATTTCGATAATTTCGTACCGACCGAGGTTCGATTTCGAAAAATTCGCAACTTTTGTCCACAGCGGAGCTTCGAATTCGAAAATTTCAAAGCTTTCACGGTTTCTAAAATTTCGAATTCGAATATTTCGAATATTTTTTTACTTCAGGTTCGATAAATTCGAAGATTTCGAAATTCTTTGTAAAAAAAATTCGAAAACTTCGAACGCTTCGAATTTTTATAGACATGAAGTTCGAACAATTCGAAGATTTCGAATTTCTTTTGGCTTAAAGTTCGAAAAGTTCGAAAGTTTCGATTCTCTTTTAACGCTACATTCAAAAAAAAAAAAAAAAAAAAAAACTTCGAAGATTTTGAATTTTTTTCTAATCCAAGTTTTCAGAGTTTGAAGTCCGATTTTCAAGTTTTTCTACAGTTTCAGTTTCAAATAACGTTTTCACGACTCACTTGTTTTCACAAAATCAAGTTTAGAAAAGTTAGGGTGTGATATCTAGATTCTGCGAAGTTGGTAAGGCAATTAAATGAGACCACGAGTGTCCCGGACGTGCTAGAATATTTGCCAGTGCAGAATTGTGACCGCCAGCCCCCCGGGGGGGAAGGGGGGGGGTCTTTATCACGCAGTAGTGATTGCACGAACACACTGTTTTACGAGACTCATCCAGTTCGAAACGGCCAGGGGCGAGCAGGAGGTTGAGGCTCAGAAAAACCGTGAAGTGACCTGGCAAAGTAGCTCGCCACCCCTTGCACGCTGGTAGTAATCCGATCCGGTGAAGTTTATAATTGTCCTGGAGGTTTATTTTCTGGGACGGAGGAATCGCCTCGCAAAAAGCACAAAAGCCGACACAACTCGAGGTCGAGGAGCGTTCTACCATACAAGTGGCGTCGGAAGAGGAAAAACGGGGGGAAAGAGGATAGCGGCGGGGGGGGGGCGGGGGGCTTCAGCCTCCTTTTTCCCTTTGCAGGTATTTCGGACTGTTAAAGAAAACAATACGGGGAAAGGGGGCGTGGTCGAGCTTATTTTAATCTGAAATTATTTATGCATATGTATAGCTACTGTCGCTCTTCACTGCATAAAAGGTTGCGTAGATGGTCACTGTTAGAAACTCGTTGTCAGAAGGCACTGCTCGTCACATGCTTAGTGGTTCGGAAGTTCAAAGCTGTCTTTTCGACCTAAACACCTGTGCCGATAGTAACAAAAGAAAAAAAAAAAAAAGAATAAATGCGGGAATAAAAAGCAGGAGAAAAAAAAAAAACTATCAAGAATTCGTCGGAAGTGTTCTATTCGTGCATATTCAGAGGTTCAGAACTTCGAAACAAGTTTCTTTTACCAAAATGTGTACAGGCTAAAAGAAACACGTCCCAAAAACGTGAAGCGAAAAAAAAAAAAAAAGTTTTCTTTTAATGACGTGCTGAACTTGAACACTACTAGAAATCTTCTGCAATGAGTTAATTTATTCCTTAACGTGAAAAAACAATAAATATATTATTTTGTATTCTGCAGATGGCAATGATATGTACTGTCTGTGGTGCTAATTTAAATGCGATACCTCAAACAACTTGGACGAAAATAAATATCAAGTTTAGGTCATAATTGCATGCAGATACATGTTTGGACATTTCTTCGAATCTCACGTTGAATAACAATAATCACATCTTAAGACGGCACTTACCTAGGCTATACATAGATCATTCTTAAAAAAGTATAACATATCTACCATAAATAGCTCCGGCTGCAGCGTGCTTCAAATCTGGCACAAACGATAATCGTCAAAAACCCGTCGTCCGTCCTCGCCCCTTCGGGGATTTCTTTCTTTAAACCTAAGCATGTCAGAACATTGAAATAAATGACATTGTCTTTCGTAAGGAACGCAGCACCGCGTGTAAAAGTTCGAGAAAAGAAATTACGAATGTACCCCACTCCTTGAAATCAAATGAAACCGGCCGCCGGTCTTTCGAAGTTCGACGAACGTCGAACTTTTACCCTAAAAGTTCGAAATTCGTCGAACTTCTGACTTTTCAGAATTCGAGAGTTCGAAACTTTTCGAATTTTCTTGATAAATAAGTTCGAAAGTTCGAAATTTATCGAATTTTTTGGTCAGTCAAGTTCGAAAGTTCGACAAGCATCGAACCTTGCAGCGCAATAAGTTCGAAAGTTCGAAAAAGATCGAATTTTTTAGCGTAATAAGTTCGACGGTTCGAAAAGCGTCGAACTTCTTAGCTTAACAAGTTCGAAAATTCGACCTCCGTCGAATTTTACGATATAGACAATTCGAAAAATCGAAATCTTTCGAACCTTTCGAACCGCTTGATTCGATCATCGAAACTTCGATTCGAGAAAAGTTCGCGGCATCCCTAAGTGAGGGTGGGGGCAACTCAAAGCCTGGAGAGCGTTTGCAATTTAATGGCGGCGCCTGAGGGAGAGGATTCGAGAAAGGATATGCGCCAATGTTGCCTGCACGAGAGCAGGCGCCCGCCCTGTTGCAACTCTGTTGCTCCATGCGCCTTTCCTCCTCTCGCCTCCCATTGCAAGCAACGAACGCCTTGGCGCAGCCTCTCTCGCTTCCTCCTTGCTCCGAGAATCGCAAACGTCGAGAGGAGAAAGCAAGGTTGCCAGACAACCAGCAACGTCCAAGATGGCGGAATTTACCATTTTTCGCGTTAAAAAAATACTTAACCTATCGCAACAAAACTGGTGGCTATGGAAAAGTAATCATTTATACCTCGTGTAAATTATTCAAGCACCTTAATGGGCCTTTATGACCTGAGTTAGAAAAGAAAAATGACCCTTTGTGCCATAGACTCCCAGCAAAATTTAGCAATTAAATGGCGTCCATGTCCCGTGATCCCCGCTAGGAGTTGCACCCACCCTCACTTGAGCCTCCTTAGTGTTGTGTTTATCGGTTGTCCGCTTGCCACCGTCGCTCATAGATGGCGCAACCTCTTCAGCCTTTCCAGAGACTGAGCCCTTCCAGTCTGGCTTGCCGACTTGCGGCCGGCCATTACTTCATTCCCACCATAGAACAGCTTCGCTGGTCTTCTTTCTTCACCAAAATAAAAAGGCTTTTTCTTTTTTCTTTTTTTTTTTGTTATTGAAAACGGTTTCTTTATAATCATCAGACCCCTCCGTCTCTTTTTTCTTCGGTTCCGTGCTTCGACCCCCAAAGCATTTCATATGTTCTCAGCAATCGGCGGAGCATCCTCATAAATTATAGTAGTCATAAAATCAATAACCTGGTGCGTGTTTCACCCCCCACATCCCAGAGCAACTTGACTAAAAGAAAGCCTGTCTATTCGCGGGAGGTGAAACAAATGCCACGTGATTTTCGTAGTGTTTAACACCCCCCCCCCCTCCCCCCCCCCCCCCCCAATAAATGGTAACCGCTCCGTCAAACTTTTACGATATACATTGCAAGCAAAGCGGAAAAACATACTTTAGAAAATAAATTCGGATCTATTTGATTTTAATCAGACTAATTTGATTCAGATCACTCGCTAAAAATAAGAGACTCTTTATCACCACATTATTTTTAAGCGTGGCATATCAATTGATCAATTCATCATTGGTAACAATGCGGAAGAAATAATTCATCTAAACTTTATATCCAGTTTAATTACCAACTTTTTATCGGTCCACACTAGATCAAAAACAGCCAGATTTTTCTAGTTAGTTAAAAGGCCTTATTTGCGTTTTGTCGCGTTCTAATTTCCTTGCACTAAACATAACCTTTCTAGTTTTTGTTTCGGGCTTTGATTCGCTTGATATAGGCCGTTATCTAACTGACGAACCAAGCGGGAAGTAGAAAGAAAGCTCAATGATCCGATTTACTCGGAAGTGCAATGCTTTTTGCTCGCGTTCAGCGAATATTTCTTGCTCCGTGGTTGTTGGATTTAAATACAAAACAAATGAACATAAAAAAAAAAAAAACATCAAATGATAGATCTAAACGGTAAGTAAAAAGTATTCTCGGAACTATTTTTACGGGAAAGGTTTAATTTAAATAGTCATAGCAAAACTGGTCCGATTTATATCACGATTTATTTCAGAATTTAAACCATCTTGGTTTTTATTCTCCACCGTGATTACAAGTAATCAAATTACTTGTCATCAATTACTTTTTTTAATAATTTTGTAGTCATTTGATTACGTTTATTACTAATTAATCGGGAGAGTGATCTCATCCCTTTTGGAAGTACTAAAATTGCTTGTGACCGCAATTATTTGTCCATCCCCGTCTTACGGCGCCCTTTATTCACTCAAATTCTCTTCCAATGAATCCTCGAAAGAAGCCTCCGACAGGGTTTATTAAGATTGATAGGTTAAGAAGATCAGTATAGTTATAAATTTATGATTCTAATCCAATAATTGGCATTCAAAAGACCTGTCTTCAAACCGGCAGAAAACTGTCATTTTAAGTAATGGGAACAGTAACTCTTACTTTTTCGAGTAACGGCCAATTACTTTTCCTCTTAAGTAATGTAATTTATTAGTTTTTAAGTGAGAGTATTTTATTTGATTACATTTTTATCGACTAACGTGTTCTAAACTGTTTCCGGTTGACCACCTTGGATGAACTCCTGTACTTTCGTCTTTGACCACGTTCTTCAGCGATGACCCTCCGGTTCTCGTTTATTATTTTTGTTGCTCAGCTCTCGAACACACGATTAAAACAATAACGGAGGTTGGATATTGTCCGAGTGTGGCTAATCGGTTATCGAATTATTCTCCCGATATCTCCGCGGTGTGTCGCGACACGAGCCCGGCGCGTCGTTTTATTTACGGAGCCGGCGGCTGGAGCGGGCGGCAGCCAATCGGAGTGGCCGCTCGTGGCTCTTCGGAAACTGAGCTCACGGGCGAAGCGGGCGCCGAAAGGGAGCAAGGCCGCGCGCATACTCACGGGAGCCCGGCTGCACGGCGTACAGCACGCCACAGGCGAACAGCGCCGAGCCGACCAGGCCACACGACGCCGCAGAAGAGGACCTTGATCCACTGGCCCGGTTCGACATCGGAGAAGTAGCACCCCTTTCGCCGACGCCGCCGCTCTTGCCACAAACGACCCGGATAAACGCACTTCTCTCTTTGGGACAGCAGCGGCCCCGATGTAGCCCCCCCAGAAGAAGGTTCGGCTCCGATTCGCCGGCTGTCCTCCTCTGGACGCAGTTACCGGACACCCCAGCAGGTCACTGACCCTCGCCTGCCCAGCTCTTCCACGTGCTGCTGTTGTTCCTCCGTCTCAGGGTTGGGTGGGACTACCTTCGACTCGTTTCGAGTGGCGGGCACTCTGAAAAACCGCACCTCAGCCCTTCGCTAACCTACACCGTGTTACGATGGGGCAGGGAACCTGAGCCAACTCGCGTTCGAACGCCGCTGACCGGACGTAAAACAGCTGACGGACGGAACGGACGAGAAATGCCACGAAGGCAGCGCGCGAGTACGTCCCGGGGTTCGCAGATGGCGCCACGGGGACCGATGGCGGCGCCGACTCGTCTGCGACCGCGGCGCGTGGAATCCCGTTCAAATCCGGTTCGCGCTTCTTTTTTCCTGGGAAGCTTCATCGCCAGCTCCGGGCCGTCTCGCCGACAGCAGCGGCAGCCGCGATTGCGCGACGACCAAGAACAACTCGGGCTAATCGAGACATCCGGAGAACGGGCAATTCGCGGACTTCCTGCGCTCGTCTCCCATTGCGAGCCGTGGGGTGGAGGGCGGCCAGAAATCCTGCTCAATCTGAAGAAGCGACGCCAATGCAGCCTGTTAGATGGATGGTCACGCTGAAGCGAACGTCCTGCGACGTGGACGAGCTTCGAGCTGTTTTCAGCCGTTGTGGTTAGGATTTCACGAATGTCCCGAGACTACACGTAATGCCATTAGAGTCGTGGAGTGTTGGCACAGTTATCTGGTTTTTCGGGTGCGTCAGGTTCCCGAGCTGTGCCGAGTGTCAGACTTGTTCTCATTTGCCTCTTTAGTTGTTGCAAACATGGTCCTGTTCGTACGTCCGAATGGAAAAGTAATTCCTGGGCGCAGTAGAGCCTGCTATTAAAGTTGAGGTTTCGAAGCTTTTACAATATCACCTTAACTCCCGAGGAAATTCTGCAAAAAGACAAGAAGGCAGAGTCTCAGCTCTGCCGCTTTTGCCTAAATTGTCCAATTCAGGGGACTTCGAGGCTGGCACACACACTTAAATGCTTGTATAAATAATTATCGATAACGAGGAAATGGATATAAATAAAACAATATTGCACCCCCCCCCCCCCCAAAAAAAAAAAAAACAAGAAAAAAAAAAAAAAAAAAAGACAAGCATGACTCTACTTGATATTTCTGAAGTTGAAAAAAAAAAAAAAGGAACAAGAAAGACGCGTAAAAAATGGTGTGTGCATGTTTTTACAGCAGGAAGCTTTGTCTGCCTTAGTAGGCGTCTGGTATCTACACTGTAGATGAGCAATTAAGCCTGTGCGACACAACTGCTACCCTGGGGTCTTGAACGTGCACCACGCAGTAGTAATACAGAATCGCACGAAAGTACGATGCTCATCCAGATCGAAACGGGCAGGGTGCGGGGTTTGAACCCAGGATCCTGCATGGGTTCTGCAGCGCGAGCTTTGGCTCCACGTGCTCCGACCTGGTGTGCGCAAGCCAACTCGGCCACCGATCCGCCAGAAACCACCGAAACAGGCCAGCTTCAATCACGTGCATGCCTGCCACGTGAAGGTATCATTGGCAGGCTGGCGATCCCTCGTGCTTCCCTCACGAGCACGTCCTTCCTTCACAAGCGTGAACGCAAGGGAGTGGTGGGTTAACAAGCACCCGAGTGATTCGCTACACCGTCGATTCGCTCAAATGATTGGTAATCCTAAAACGTCATTCGCTCGTGTGATATGGACCCCTGTTTCGGTTGTTACTGTTTGTCGCTCTAGGCTGAGTAGGGCATCGGAGAGGGTGTGTTGTCCCCCATTTTACGTGTCGTCCTTTTATTTCCCTGTCAGTTCCTGTCACGTCAAATATTCGCCAGGTCGCCTACGCGCTACTCTCCTTTTATATATCGCAGCCAACATTTACGCGCTACGACGAAACGTGTCGCAGATTTTTTTTAGTGTCAATTGATCGCCAACGACTCCAAACAACAAAATCAATGACACTTTCTTTTTTCTCCACAAATCCCGCATATTTTGACACAACCGCAAAACCGGTCAAGCCCGTGTAAAAGAAAACTGAAACGAAGTACCGGTCAGTAAGTCCAGCAAGCGGCAGCGCCTTTCAGATGGCCTCCGCGAGAACCGAATTCGGGGCTGTCTCGCTCTCCATTTACCGCGCGGAGGAACCGAATCCGTACGGGTAAGTAGAGAACTCGGGCAGTGGAGCGACTCGCCGCCGCCGCGTGCGGTGTCCTGGTGCGTCACGGCGACGTGGATCAAACGCCGCGTTCACCTTGACGCGTGTCAGTCAGCCGCGTCCGCCGATAAGCCCTGGTCGTCAAGATAAAAGCGGGCGACGGAAACACGGCTCTTTGGAGGAAGGTCGAGACGGCCACGAGCCACTGAATCCTGGACCGCGGCGCAGAAAGCAGGGTCTCATTTACACTGCTCATACATCATGCAAGAGACACAGAGTTTTTCCGCAGACATGATAAAAGATTTATCTGCGGCCATTACTAATGAATACTCTAAGCATGCATGCTTTGGACATGTCTACAGACAGTGCTTGTATGACCCACGCGACCGTCATGAGGAAGAAACCAGACAGTGTATGCAGCCCGTCTTCTGTATGGTGTATTAGCAGTGATTGCGGCTTTAGTTTTAGGACTCCTGCGCTTTTCACAATTGCGGGGGGAGCTGGGTTCTCATCTTTCAAAGTGAAATGCGTGGTGTGGGCGGTTTAGCTGTAATGGCGCGGCTTCGGTCGTGCGTAATCCAAACGAGTTGCGGTTGGCCGGCCCGGAGGGGAAAGGACAACACAGTCCGGGAAAGTCTCAATATTCGCCCTGGCAGCACACGTGGCTCTGCGTACTTCCTCACGATGTCTTAACGGTTCCCTGGTATCCTGCGGACATCCAGAACATAGAAGTAGAGCCTCGTTTTTGACTGAAATGTATCATATTCGGTACGATGCGGCGACATAAAAGAGTAGAGCTAAAGGAAGAGAGGAAAGAACAGTGTAGAACTGCACCGTGCATGCGGAGGGACCCGGCAGGGAGTGTCCGGAAAGGGCCCACCATGCGCACCAGGACACACCGACGTGGACGTGCACTCACCGCAGACTCGATGCAGCAGTGACGGGCTTTTTATTGCGGCAGCCTGTACGCTAGCCAGAGGCCATCACCCAAAGCAGCACTCTGTGTACACGCTGCCGGACAGGGGGAAGTGTTTCTGTAGGGCGGGGGGAGGAGCGGGAGGTCCAGTATACAGTACGGGGCGACGGCACTGCCCTCGGAGCGGCGGAGTCTGTGCGACGCACCAGTAACGAGTCCACGACGGCGGTGACCAGCACGGCCGCCGTTTCACTGCAGCACGGGGATGGACTTTGTGGGCGAGAAGACGAGCTGCGGGTCGAACGGCGAGTACGGGTGCGTCACGAACGGGCTCAGCGGCGGAAACGAGGGCAGCCCGAACCCGCGCGGCGGGAACTGGAACCGGGGGCTGGGCACGGGACTCAGCGGGTACAAGGGCAGCATCTTGGAGCGCTGGTGCTGCGTCAGGAACGGACTGGACAGCGCCATCATGGGCGCCGACAGGCCGGACCCGAACAGGGCCGACGGCGCGAGCAGCGGTGGAGGCTTGGGCCGCGCCACGGACCTCGGGGAGCACTTGGGCGACGGGCAGGAGTCCGTGTCCGATTCGGCGCCCGGGCGCTGGCGCTTGGGCAGGGTCCCGCCGCTGCTCGTGGACGACACGTCGTCGGCGGGGGCCTCGTCCTCGTCGGACAGCGACCGCTTCCGCTCGCGGCCCTTGAGGCTCAGGTCCTGGGGCGCCTGCGCGATGCTCTCCATCTTCACGTGGAACGGAATCTTGTTCTCCGTCTTCACGATCTCCGGGAACGAGACGAAGCGGTACACGAACTTCTGGCCCAGCACCTTCTTGATGATGTTCTTGTCGTAGTAGTAGCGCAGCGCCCGACTCAGCTTGTCGTAGTTCATGTTGTGCTTGTTCTTGCGCAGCCCCCACAGCCTGGCCACCTCCTCGGCGTTCACAAGCTTGAACTCGCCGTCCTCGTTGGTCCAGGTGATCATGTGGCTGTAGCGCTGGCTCAGCAGCAGCTCGAGCAGGAACTGCCACAGCGTGATGTTGCTCTCCATGGCACCCGGGGCTGCAGTCGGAAAGAGAAAGCGCGGCGGGCCACTCAGTCGCCGCGCTGGGCAGGAAGCCCCCAGTTGAGGGCCAAGCAGGAAGCAATCCCGGCCCGCGCAGGAAACGACCAATTGACGCCACCCGCGGCTACCCCCCAACCCCTGGTCGCGTTGGCCCCGCGGGACGAAAAAGTTTTACCTGAAACGGACGTCAGCCGCTCGGGGCGGCCGGGAGGCGAGCCCGCCGAGGCACCGGGCGAGCGGGCACGGCCACCGCGGTCCGGGCGAGACGCATGCTCGTGCAGCGGCTATTCCTTTTTCGCGACAAGAAGGCACGCGGAACAGCGGCTGGCCGAAACACACGCTGCTGCCGGCGACCGCCTTCCCCGGCAACGCACAGCGGCTGCAATCTACCGCGGCGGCTGTCCCGCTGGGCGCGATCCTGGCGGCCGCATTCCAGCGTGTTTCCCCTCCCGAGGCGACCTTGGCGTCCGTCGCGTGAATACGCAGGTGCGCTTCGTGGAAGCGCGCTCGGGACCGCCTCTCCCCGCACGAGGGGTCTCCCGGAGAAGCACACTCACCGGACACGTGCTGCTGTTGCTGCTGCTGCTGCTGGTGGCCGATCTGGTGATGATGATGATGGTGCTGCCCCCCCTGCTGCGAGTGGTGCAGTTGGAGCACGGGTTCGAGCACCCGATGCTCGGCCGTGGCACGGGCCAGAAGCATCTCCTCTTCCTCCGCGGTGCACCGCTGGAATCCCATCGGCACTTGCTGCTGCGGCGGCGACTCCCCGGGGCTCCGGACTCTGGCCGGCGGGGCGCGGGCCGCGATCACGTCGTCCTCCTCCGAACCGGCCCGTAGGAATCCCACCGGCGTCCGAACCCTGGCCGGGGCCGCCACACGGGCCGGAGTGGTCTCATCTTCTTCCGAACCGCGCCGCGGGAATCCTTGGTGGCGCGGCGGCTGGGGTGGCGGCGGCTCCCCCGGGGTCCGAACTCTGTCCGGAGGCGACGCCGGGGGTTCTGGCGCCGGGGGCGAGCCCGTCGTCCTCTCCGGGGCTTGCGGGGGCGGGCCGGGGCTGCCCGCTGCCCCGGAGCGCTCCAGCAGGTGCCGGAATCTCGCCAGGACGCCGAGGGCTGTCCCGCTGTCCCTGGAGTGAGCGTCGGAGCTGTCCTCGGACCGGAGGAGCTCGGAGCGGCAGCAGCACGAGCCAGCTCGGCCTGCGCTCGACTAACGGGAGCGGTCGGCCCGCATGTGGGCCACCGGGCCGCAGCGAGAGAGAAAGGCGCACGGTGCCGTCCCCTTCGCCGCTGCTGCTCGCCGCTCTGACCCTGCTCCTGCCGCCAGAGTCAACGCACTCCGCTTTCCCCGAGAGCCTTCCGCCGACGCAGCCGGGCAAATGACCCTGGACACTTTCAAGGGGAACCTTGGACAGACCCGGGCCCGGCCGCTGCCACCTTCCCGCGCCTGGGCCCAACTCAGATCCGGCTCGGGGCTTTGGGGGACGGGCCGTCCGCGCGTCTGGAAAGAGCGGACACGCGATAACCAGGCTCCGTTATTAGGGAGTTTTCGTAGACCGCGCTGCCTCCTCCGCTAAGCGTTCCGCAACGAAGAAGTTGCTACTGCGCCTGCGCGCCGATAGCCTTGACTGTGGAGTTCCCGCTATTGTAGCGGGTAGCGGAGGGCCTTGCGGGACGGCGAAAACGATCTACGAAAACTCCCTATTGTGTAGGAAAAATAAAAAGAAAACAACAGCAAAAAAATTCGTTCGGAAACAGTAAGCACGTGATGACAAGCAGTGACGGAGTTCCTCCTGCTAGGCAGTTCACGGATACGGGTATTTGCTTTAGCTGGCAAAGCTCTCCCTCAAACGATTACGAACCTAGCAAGAAAGAAAAAAAAAAAAAAGCGGGGACCAAGTAACCGGGATCTTGCGGGTTCGCTTCTTCTAATCCCTCAATGCGTGAGTAGTGCCCGGCCAATCAACTCCCTTCCAAGTGTCACGCGGCCGGGCTCTCTAGTGCTGTGTACGAGGAGAACGCTGTCATCTGGCACAAGGTCGACTGTCCACCGCGCGTTGCTTCCCCTCCACTGTCGACTTGGGGGCGGGGGAAAATTCCCAAATAGGGACGACGGTAACGAGAAAGATGGTTCGACTAAAACTGTTTTTATTAGGCAAGTCGCGCCTTTTTTATTGCCGTCATCTTGTCTTCACGTGGCTTCTGGAATATTTGTTTGCGTAGGAGCGAGACCTTGAAAAAGGGGGTCTAATGTCAACTAAACGGTTTTGTTATGTTTCTGTTTATTTATTTTTCGTGCGTTTCTTTTTAATTTATTTTTTACAGGAGCTTCGCTGCTTGTTTTGTAACCTCGGCTTTTCTTCTTTTTTTTTTTTTTTTTTTTTTTTTAGTTACGCGTTACGGTGACCGAAAGCGTGCTCGCCGATTTTCGTGCATACTGGACATCCAGTATAAAAGTTTAGCGGGCGAAAAAAGAACTTCGACAGGTGGAAGCGGTCGCACGATTTTCTCCCACCAGCTGACGGATTTCTTTCCACCTCCGAGCTAGAACCGCGGTAGAAACCGCTTCTAACCAATCCAACCGCTGCACAATTTTAGTCGGTCTCGCTGAAACGAGTGTCCCAATGTACGTAATAAAAAAAAAAAGAAGCTATTTTTGAGAAGTAAACTTTTTACGCCCTTGAGTTGCGCAGTGCTCGCTGATAGAGCTTCTGTGAAACGGTGTTGAATTAATGGCTTTCGATGAAACGGCATTCGGTCAAATATCCGGAATCAGCGGCAATTTACCTAACATAGGTTCAGCCAGCGAGGGGAGCACATCCGGTCGTTGTCCAGAATTGACGCAGGGGGGGGGGGGGAGGGGGGGGGGGGGGCAAGGCAAGGGGGGGGGGGGGGGGGCGTACTACAAAGCGGCATTTCTCGAGGCTACTCCAGCGCGTCCGCGGCCGCCTACAGATTAGCCATAGTCGGACATTAAACACGTATGGCTCGTTTTTTCTCCGCGCTCGCTCATCAAGATGCGCCAATCGCGTGCATGCAAATTGCAGCGTATTTGGCGCGGCTCGGTCGAATAGCAGAACAGGCGCCGTGAGTGGACACTGCGGCTGAGCCTTCACGTAAATGTACACTGTTTTTTTTTTTTTTTTTTTTTAAGGTTGACAGATTTGTTTAAAAGAAGCCGCGAAAGCTACACGTATGCGGTTTATGCACATCAGTTCTACGGCCAGGGGGACATAGTATCGGGGGCTAATCGTAACGATCAGTCGGCTAATTACTTAAGATTCGTTAATTCACTTGTTAACTAGTGAAAATAAACATATGGTTCTAATTAGAGACTCGGTGAGCGTCATCGAAAACCATTAAATCAATGCTTTTAGAAACACTTTAAGCGCGTGGTAAGCGTAGTTGCGCGTCAAAAGTACCACTGGTACATCGGGTACCACAGGCTGGGGCGGTGATAACTTATAAGAGACGGAAAATCGGGCGGGCGCCTTATCGCACCGGTAGCGTCACTCCTGCTGCACGAATGCCAGCTGCCTTCTCCCGCCAAGTTCCTAATTCAAATCATATTTCCATTTTCACCAATTAAAAAGTTAATAACGACTTCATCGCCTGATCATTACGATTAGGCCACTATACCATGGCGCCCTGACCGCACCTGCACCTTCACAAACCCCATAAATGTAGTTCTCACAACTTTTTTTTTTTTCAACAAATCTGTTAAGGTTAAAACAGATGCTCAGTATACTTTCGTGGGTCCGCACAAAAGTCACATTTTTCCGTGGGCACACGCCTATAAAAACCTACGGCTTTCCTGGGTGAGCATTTGGTCCAAGTGTGCTAATAAAACGATGACATTTTGCCCCTGCCTGCGGGGAAATCGGCGAGCTCTGAGCCGTTGAGGCCGTTACTCCGCAAAGGGTTCGTGTCACATCGAAACATTTTGGTAAGCGGCCAAGCTTACACTGCACGAGCGCAAATTGAAAGAGAGCACTGTGTCGAAGGAAGAGCTCTCGCTCTCTCGCTTTGCCTGCACATGTTCTTTCGGACGCCTATCGTCAGTCAAGGGGCAAGTAAAAGGGCTGCCGTACCTTTTTGCGGGTAGAGAACACATATCTTCTTATTTTATTTAACATCTACATCGTACTGACCACCTTGCTCGTGTTCTTCAGATAATCGTCATCAGGCATGTAGCCAGGATTTTGATTCGGGGGAGGGAGGGGGGGGGGGGGGAGCATGACAACGTGCTGTATGAGGAGGAGGGGGAAAGGAGGCCCCAGCAAAATGGCAGGTTTCGGGAAAGGGGGTTGGGGACGGGCCTTCCCCTAGATACGTGCCTGATCGTCATACCTCTCTGTGGAGTGTCATTCCAACTTCTACTCAACAGAAAAAAGAAGAAAAAAAAACATGGACAGGTTCTCGAGCATACAAACTGTATTGGGGGCCGACTCACTGGCTTCTGGGCGCATGTGTGGCATCTAATATTCTATGGAAGATAGCTAACGCGCATGCTCATAACCTGCTCCACAGCCCAATGATCAAAGATATGGCAGTGCTCAAAAACCATTATTGGAATGTCCTACATGTCATTTGTTGTACACACAGTTGGAAAGTTGTATAGAGAGGATTGAATTTCCTCAAAAACAACGCGTTGTAAAAAAAAAAAAAAAAAGCGCGGACACGTTATATATTTTGGTCAGTGGTTAGACCTTTCCGAAAGTCAGTCTATACCACCCTGTTTAGAGCTCAACCCGACGCAACACTGTACCGACGCTCCAACGGGGGTACTACACAACTTCTCCACGCCAGAAAAAGTGAACGTCTTCCAAAGCATAGAGCAGAAATGGGGAAAGGTGCTGGTCCTTTTCCGTCGCCTGCGATTCACAAAAACCAAGGGTGCTTCATTTAGCCGAGCACGATATCCTATCACGGCCATTAAGCGGCAATACTGGAGTTTTCGGGAGTGCCACCAGGTGACTCTGACATTGAAAAAGGGTATATTGTCTCGCTATACTCAGCGTCCATCCTGTATCGTAACATCTGAAGAACAGACCTACCTCCCGCTGCATAAACCTGGAAGATCTGCAAGTTTCTTTGCAGAGCGCGGGACCGCAAAGGCTTGAAGCATCGTGGACGAGAAGCCCCAGATAACATCAAGGGCGATGAAGACACCCCGACGTTAGTGCAGTGGGCCCGTTCAAGGGGCACCACCACACAGCACAGGAAAGCCAAAGTCGGCTTTCCGTGGCACTGCATCGGGAATGCTGTTGCCGCTGCTAATAATGCATGCGAAAATCTTTTTCATTATATCTTTATTTTGTGATCTTGGGCCTTGCCCGCGAGTTTTGTCGTTTGTTCGTTTATTAATACAGAAGATTTAGGGTCAGGCCTTGTCAAGTGACGTTGTTCCCCTTTTTGTGCTTCTGGACCATCAGAAAAGACAGTTGTTTCTAGCCTTGAAAAAAAATTGATTGTTTGGTCAATTGATTGATTAATTCATTAATCGATAGATAAATTGACTGATTGATTGATTGATTGATTGATTGAATTATTCGTCCGTTAGTTGGCCCATCAACTCATGGAAGTTTCGACCATAGTCAGCGAACTCGCTGACCCTACCCCACCCGCCTCAAGAGTTCAGACATAAAGCAGCTGAACCCCTTCAGCATATATTATATTAAAACGGTATGTTCTTTACTACAGCTAGGTGCAGAGGACTGCAATGATCAAGATATTTAGAAATTGCCCAGGGAAAACCTGGTGTGTACCCACACTGCGCCCTTTTGGTCGTAGCAGGCCAATCATCTCGCAGAAAAAACGGAAAGAAAAAAAGAAAAAAAATGTACGGAGTACTTTTTGACACTCAATAAAGCGACGTCATGAATCGCCTTCTAGTATGCCAAAGCTGTGACTACCGCTCTTTTTGGCAAGGATATACGGAAGTAAACACGAGGGGAAGTCATCGCGTGGGTCAGTGTATACGACCGTTTATAACCACTTCGGAACATTATTCAAGATGCTTTTTCGAGGATTTATTTTTAGCTTATGGACGGCATGTTGTATTTTCCAGAAACAACTGGTATTTCAATAAAGGAAAAAAAAAACGCAGTACTGGTTACCGCAGTCTACCATCTCTAGGGTGTATAGCCTCGTTTCACGCGCAAGTTAAAGGCCTTCGGAACAAGCTCTTTCAACGAATAGACCGA